TCGAGCAAATTTTTGATGGTTTTCGGAATTCGTCCCAAGTTCTTATTCGAGCATTGAGGCACTTTTACCACAAACTGCCGATCTTCCGAAAATCAGGTAGTAGTTGTTCGTTGGGTCCTCCTTGATGGACCAGTTACAAGTGGTCAGGAGCTTTCCCGATCTTACGCCATCACGTATGACTTCTATCCTTCCTTCAACAGTGACAGATCTTTTTTTCCTGATTTCAGCTAACTTGCATTTTTGCTCGAAGGAGAAGGTGAGGGGTACCAGTGTGACGTCCAGTAAGCACCCCCTTTGGTTGGCGGGAGTATTCGATCTCCGCATGAGTCGTACCGTTGTGCAATTTCGATGTCCACCATCGGTGTTCTTTCTCCATAAAGATGGGGTTGCGATAAAAAAAAAGTCAGATACGAGTCCAACAACACGGTTAGTCCTCATTCCGAAGTCCTGTTACAAACCTACGCTATGCTCCCCTTCTTCTGCCATCCTTATTTTTGCAGTGAAGTCACATACGACGAATTTGTAGAATGAAGTTCCTTTGCGGATGGCTTCCTTCATATCCTCATGGAAAGCATTTAGTTTCGAGTCAGCAGCTGCTGATGTTGGACAACAATAGTTGATGATAGTAATGGTTTGTTGATTAAGAGGACAGAGTTGAAGGACCAAGCGAGGTGATAGGATCTAATGCGAATCGACAAAATGGACAGCAGATGGGTGTACGACAAATCCAACACCTCCAACGTTTTCTGATAGAACTTTCTCTATGAATGAAGAGTGTGCCATCACTCAACTGCTTAGCGTCCATCTTCCTGGACTCTGCTCCCTGCAAGGCGACTACGTGATAGTTGACGCATCCTGCAGCTTCGGAAACGGCGTGAAAATCCGTTGGTGTCGTAGCGTTGTAGGTTCTCATAGTCAGTCTATCATCAATTTCCGTATTCATCATGTCTCTAGAAATTTTTGTCTGGGAGCTCTCGGCTGCAGTAGTCGACGACTGGAAAGAACAGTCTGACAAAAATAGTGATTACCGTATGTTAGTTTGCTTACTGTTAGCATCAAAGTAGAATTTTTCAGAATGAATTTTGAAAAATCACAGTCAATTGTACAAAAAGCATAGGTGTAAAAATCGTTTTTTCTCTTATATTGATATTTCTTTCTCTGTCCGAAAATCCATGCAAAAGTGGAAGATTGCCAAGACGATCAATGATGCTTTCTGCAACAGGAGTAACGCTTCCACTGTATAAACTATCGGAGCAGAACTTCAGAAAATGTGAAGCCAGTATAAGGTAAAGAAAAGTCAGAGGGTCTTATGTAATACCTATTAATTATGAATCTGTTTTTGAAGTGTAGAAGATAAGACATTTGGTAAGAATCCTTAACAATAAAGATCTGACTATAAAGCTCTTGCTTGGATTTTAGTCTGCAACAGCCTTGAAAACATAATTCGCAAATTTCTGTTGTGGTTGCTGATACCTACATTGTGAATTAGTTTTTAGGATAACGTCAAAAAAATTGTAATAGACTCCTTTGATCAAAGGAAACAGTAGTTGTCGAAAAAATTTGCTCAAAAAAGTTGCGGCCAGCAATAGTCTTCAGTTATTGTGCAGAAGCCTTCACTTTCATTCGTTAAGCATTGTATTTCGTTTGCGAAAGAACCCAATTTAGTTGGAAAATCTTTTATGAAGTTATATGTATAGTGATTTCAAAGAACTGGTTCAATCTTTACCTTTCACTCTCATTTTAATTCACGTAATTATTCGAAGAGATAATGACAACATATAATCAATGATAATAGAACTCGCCTATCTATGAGAAGTTCGTTGCCAGCAAAAAGGCTTTGCCGAGCAGGAGTTATTAGCTTTAGCAAGTCCCCACTACTGGGCGGATTGATTCGCTTCAAAATTTTGCATGTAGTTCACGCAAACGTCATTTTTGGACATCGTGATGTTGCAAAGAGCAAAAATTTTGAATACAATTTTGCAATCACTAGCCCACTAAGTAATGACGCTCTTAGAACTTTAAAGATTCAGCAGAGTGTCCGATTAAATGAAAAAGTCAAAAAACCTTTTCGAACTTGATAAGTCCGAGGAAAATGTCTGTTGGTTTAGATATTCCCTTCTGATCAACCTATGAAAGGTGTACAAGAAGTCACATTCCAAAATAGTTAAAATAATTCGCTTTCTTTCAATCCTTTTTTTGAGAACAACCAAATTAGTGGAAAGTGATAGTCATAGTTACCGCGACAAGTCGCTTTCTGCTTCGGTTAATGAAGCAAAATAGGAATTAATTGAGCTTTTTATTTGTCAACCTGATGCAAACGAAAACAGTCTTCGTTTTTAGTTATGACCAACTAACAACCATTGTGTTAAAAAACGTTGAAATTTTATTATAAATCTCCAACATACCATGAAGACGTTTTAAGCGTAGAATTGAGCATAACAAGTCTTTGGGTGATTTCTCGGACTGGAATACGATGATTTTACAAAAATAAAGTTTTTCACATAAAAAATCGGCACGGCGCGTCGCTTGGTCATAAGAGATATTTGAAAAAAGGGATAGAATCATTCTTCGACGTGAATCTATTGGCATGCCATACTACACTATTATCTGAAGTATACAGTAGGCTTAAGGTAGGAGATTGACGACATGGAATCGCCCAAATCTTTGCCTACAAGAGATACTCGATGTGCTGATCATAAAATAATCTTCTCTTGTTACAGAAGTGTCTTATTGTGATACGGTAGGCGTTGATTCCATGACTATCGTTGCTTCACAGAGACAACTTTGCATTCCAATGTTAACTGCCCTATCTTTTCACATTTTTCACCTTTCTCTTGTGAGAGTTACTTCTTACTGTGTGCCTTTACTCGCTTTCCTCTATAAAAGCTACATATTTGCTGCTATCTTTTTACCTCTACCTCTTTTTCTGCTTTTAGAATTTTTCCTAAATTTGTTGTTCTCTCAAATATTTATTCTTTATCCTTTCGACGAAGGGAGTGAACTGGGAGATTTAACCGCTTGTGACAGCTGTTTATGATCACTTGCGAACCAAATGTCGGGCTTCACACGAGAATTACTGGTAACACCAGATTTCAAAATGAATAGTAAAAATTACCACATAGATTAAGACGCATAGATCAAATCGCTACAGATTTTGTACGAGCAATGTTTCAAACGTCAGCAATCCCAGTCAAAGAAAGCGAAATGAGAGTAGAACAGCGCTCAAAAAGCTAGTAGTGAGCAACGTTTACAAAAATTGTTCGAGTTGGATATGATCTTTATGAGAACACTTAGCAGATGTGGGACGTATATAACATAGACAAAAGCAAATACATGAACAGGATTAGAACTCTCTAACGCAATACCTATGCAGCAACTTTCCACACTTTTCCAAATTTATTGAGGCACTGAACCACCGTGAAGGGGTTGATATTGTAATGAGCATTTTGTGTTCTTAAGATTTTACGACTATAGTCGATTCCTAACGCAATATTAAAACGCTTACGGGCGGAGCGACGCGGCGACGCCTCTTAGTTACGAGCGCGGAAAACTCGAAAATCAGCTGCTAGAGCCGAGAACGATAGTACTCGGGTTTTTTCAGGTTTTTCTTTACGTTTCTCTTCTTTTTAAGGAACAGGGTATAGAAGCCACTTGAGCAACTGTTTGGTTGTGTGCTATAAGGTAAGTAGAGCATTGGTCAAGGATTAACGATTTTTCTGTACATCGTACTTCATGCAATTTCTCGCGTTTTCAATCTTATTTGTAGTTTGATCACATCTCACAGAAAAGCAATTTTGATAGTGAACCCAATAGAGGATTTCATATAAGTTCGGAAATGACACAAAGAATAAAGGAGAACGGAAATACGACGAAATAGCATTAGATTGGACATTGTGCGAAACGTAGGGTTAAATCCACGAAATCGCATGAGAATCTACAGATCTACTTTGGAGTTCCATTCACCTCTTGGAACAGACAACTAAACAATTGCTCAGGTAGCTTCCGAAACCCCATTCCCGAAAAAGAAGAAAAGTGTAAAAAAAAGGCATCATAGGCAGGAAAGCGGTAACAGATGTAAAATTATAATTCCCTTTTTGCAAATTGAAAAGTTTAGTGAGTGAAAAATGGAGACAAAACATTGTACATTAAGAAAGTTGAAGTACCAACGTATGAAGTACGTATTGTAAAGTTCATCAGAACTTTTAGTAAGAACCCATTACAAGTTAACCTTTATTTTAGGATGATTCTTCCTATAGCTTATAACAAATAATGAAACTGCCAGTCTCCACACATAGAAGTGTGCTTATAACCCACATGCGTCGTTTTCGTCAGTGTGTTAACTGGCGCTTTTGCCAGTCTCAAGCCAATTGATAATCGTCTATTTAGAGCTCTCCGAATTCTACAG